TTATTTATTATTTATTATTTATTATTTATTATTTATTATTTATTATGTATTATTTATTATTTATTATTTATTATTTATTATTTATTATTTATTATTTATTATTTATTATTTATTATTTATTATTTATTATTAATTATTTATTATTTATTATTTATTATTTATTATTTATTATTTATTATTTATTATTTATAATTTATTATTTATTATGTATTATTTATTATTTATTATTTATTATTTAAAATTTATTATTTATTATTTATTATTTATTATTTATTATTTATTATTTATTATTTATTATTTATTATTTGTTATTTATTATTTATTATTTATTTTTTATTATTTACTATTTACTATTTATTTGTCATTATTTATTATATATTATTTATTATTTATTATTTATTATTTATTATTTATTATTTATTATTTATTATTTATTATTTATTATTTATTATTTATTATTTATTATTTATTATTTATTATTTATTATTTATTATTTATTATTTATTATTTATTATTTATTATTTATTATTTATTATTTATTATTAAAATTTATTATTTATTATTTATTATTTATTATTTATTATTTATTATGTATTATTTATTTTTTATTATTTATTATTTATTATTTATTATTTATTATTTATTATTTATTATTTATTATTTATTATTTATTATTTATTATTTATTATTTCTTATTTTTTATTTATTATTTATTATTTATTATTTATTGTTTATTATTTATTATTTAATATTTATTATTTATTATATATTATTTATTATTTATTATTTATTATTTATAATTTATTATTTATTATTTATTATTTATTATTTATTATTTATAATTTATTATTTATTATTTATTATTTATTATTTATTATTGATTATTTATTATTTATTATTTATTATTTATTGTTTATTATTTATTATTTATTATTTATTATTTATTATTTATTATTTACTATTTATTATTTATTATTTATTATTTATTATTTATTATTTTTTATTTATTATTTATTATTTATTATTTATTATTTATTATTTATTATTTATTATTTATTATTTATTATTTATTATTAATTATTTATTATTTATTATTTATTATTTATTATTTATTATTTATTATTTATTATTTATTATGTATTATTTATCATTTATTATTTATTATTTATTATTTGTTATTTATTATTTATTATTTATTGTTTATTATTTATTATTTATTATTTACTATTTATTTGTCATTATTTATTATATATTATTTATTATTTATTATTTATTATTTATTATTTATTATTTATTATTTATTATTTATTATTTATTATTTATTATTTATTATTTATTATTTATTATTTATTATTTATTATTTATTATTAATATTTATTATTTATTATTTATTATTTATTATTTATTATTTATTATTTATTACTTATTATTTATTATTTATTATTTATTATTTATTATTTATTATTCATTATTTATTATTTATTATTTATTATTTATTATTTATTATTTATTATTTATTATTTATTATTTATTATTTATTATTTATTATTTATTATTTATTATTTATTATTTATTATTTATTATTTATTATTTATTATTTATTATTTATTATTTATTATTTATTATTTATTATTTATTATTTATTATTTATTATTTATTATTTATTATTTATTATTTATTATTTATTATTTATTATTTATTATTTATTATTTATTATTTATTATTTATTATTTATTATTTATTATTTATTATTTATTATTTATTATTTATTATTTATTATTTATTATTTATTATTTATTATTTATTATTTATTATTTATTATTTATTATTTATTATTTATTATTTATTATTTATTATTTATTATTTATTATTTATTATTTATTATTTATTATTTATTATTTATTATTTATTATTTATTATTTATTATTTATTATTTATTATTTATTATTTATTATTTATTATTTATTATTTATTATTTATTATTTATTATTTATTATTTATTATTTATTATTTATTATTTATTATTTATTATTTATTATTTATTATTTATTATTTATTATTTATTATTTATTATTTATTATTTATTATTTATTATTTATTATTTATTATTTATTATTTATTATTTATTATTTATTATTTATTATTTATTATTTATTATTTATTATTTATTATTTATTATTTGTTATTTATTATTTATTATTTATTATTTATTGTTTATTATTTATTATTTAATATTTATTATTTATTATATATTATTTATTATTTATTATTTATTATTTATAATTTATTATTTATTATTTATTATTTATTATTTATTATTTATAATTTATTATTTATTATTTATTATTTATTATTTATTATTGATTATTTATTATTTATTATTTATTATTTATTGTTTATTATTTATTATTTATTATTTATTATTTATTATTTATTATTTACTATTTATTATTTATTATTTATTATTTATTATTTATTATTTTTTATTTATTATTTATTATTTATTATTTATTATTTATTATTTATTATTTATTATTTATTATTTATTATTTATTATTAATTATTTATTATTTATTATTTATTATTTATTATTTATTATTTATTATTTATTATTTATTATTTATTATGTATTATTTATCATTTATTATTTATTATTTATTATTTGTTATTTATTATTTATTATTTATTGTTTATTATTTATTATTTATTATTTACTATTTATTTGTCATTATTTATTATATATTATTTATTATTTATTATTTATTATTTATTATTTATTATTTATTATTTATTATTTATTATTTATTATTTATTATTTATTATTTATTATTTATTATTAAAATTTATTATTTATTATTTATTATTTATTATTTATTATTTATTATGTATTATTTATTTTTTATTATTTATTATTTATTATTTATTATTTATTATTTATTATTTATTATTTATTATTTATTATTTATTATTTATTATTTATTATTTATTATTTATTATTTATTATTTCTTATTTTTTATTTATTATTTATTATTTATTATTTATTGTTTATTATTTATTATTTAATATTTATTATTTATTATATATTATTTATTATTTATTATTTATTATTTATAATTTATTATTTATTATTTATTATTTATTATTTATTATTTATAATTTATTATTTATTATTTATTATTTATTATTTATTATTGATTATTTATTATTTATTATTTATTATTTATTGTTTATTATTTATTATTTATTATTTATTATTTATTATTTATTATTTACTATTTATTATTTATTATTTATTATTTATTATTTATTATTTTTTATTTATTATTTATTATTTATTATTTATTATTTATTATTTATTATTTATTATTTATTATTTATTATTTATTATTTATTATTTATTATTTATTATTTATTATTTACTATTTATTATTTATTATTTATTATTTATTATTTATTATTTTTTATTTATTATTTATTATTTATTATTTATTATTTATTATTTATTATTTATTATTTATTATTTATTATTTATTATTAATTATTTATTATTTATTATTTATTATTTATTATTTATTATTTATTATTTATTATTTATTATGTATTATTTATCATTTATTATTTATTATTTATTATTTGTTATTTATTATTTATTATTTATTGTTTATTATTTATTATTTATTATTTACTATTTATTTGTCATTATTTATTATATATTATTTATTATTTATTATTTATTATTTATTATTTATTATTTATTATTTATTATTTATTATTTATTATTTATTATTTATTATTTATTATTTATTATTTATTATTTATTATTTATTATTAATATTTATTATTTATTATTTATTATTTATTATTTATTATTTATTACTTATTATTTATTATTTATTATTTATTATTTATTATTTATTATTCATTATTTATTATTTATTATTTATTATTTATTATTTATTATTTATTATTTATTATTTATTATTTATTATTTATTATTTATTATTTATTATTTATTATTTATTATTTATTATTTATTATTTATTATTTATTATTTATTATTTATTATTTATTATTTATTATTTATTATTTATTATTTATTATTTATTATTTATTATTTATTATTTATTATTTATTATTTATTATTTATTATTTATTATTTATTATTTATTATTTATTATTTATTATTTATTATTTATTATTTATTATTTATTATTTATTATTTATTATTTATTATTTATTATTTATTATTTATTATTTATTATTTATTATTTATTATTTATTATTTATTATTTATTATTTATTATTTATTATTTATTATTTATTATTTATTATTTATTATTTATTATTTATTATTTATTATTTATTATTTATTATTTATTATTTATTATTTATTATTTATTATTTATTATTTATTATTTATTATTTATTATTTATTATTTATTATTTATTATTTATTATTTATTATTTATTATTTATTATTTATTATTTATTATTTATTATTTATTATTTATTATTTATTATTTATTATTTATTATTTATTATTTATTATTTATTATTTATTATTTATTATTTATTATTTATTATTTATTATTTATTATTTATTATTTATTATTTATTATTTATTATTTATTATTTATTATTTATTATTTATTATTTATTATTTATTATTTATTATTTATTATTTATTATTTATTATTTATTATTTGTTATTTATTATTTATTATTTATTATTTATTATTTATTATTTATTATTTATTATTTATTATTTATTATTTATTATTTATTATTTATTATTTATTATTTATTATTTATTATTTATTATTTATTATTTATTATTTATTATTTATTATTTATTATTTATTGTTTATTATTTATTATTTATTATTTATTATTTATTATTAATTATTTATCAATAATATTTATATATTATTATTTATTATTTATTACTAATTATTTATCATTGATATTAAATATTATAATTTATTATTGATAACTTGGCATTTATCTTAATTTTTATTATTGGTTATCTTGGTATTTCATTTTAATTAATTTTTCATTATTTATTGGTATTATTAATACTAGATTTTTAATTTAATGCAATTTCATTTATAAAGTACTAAACTAAAAATATGTCAGATGATTCGGCTTTGGTGCATGCACTTCCAGTTGGTGATGCTGCACTTGCTAACGAATTTGCTCTTGTCGCTGCTAATGGAGAACGTATATCTTGATTTATTGCTGTATTTTGATTTTGACCATCATAATAATATGAAGAATCTAAAAAAAAACATTTGTAATAATTTCGCATATTTTTTTTTATAAAAAGTAATAAAAAGTTTTTCAGGCTTTTTGCTCTCTTTTAGTTTACAAATTTTCAAGTTTTAGCAGAATATTTCTTTAAAACGTTTAAGTTTTTTTACTCAAGCTACAATAAAAATATTGAAAACTTTAATATGGTGGTTTTCGTCTATACATGTTGCGCTGAAAGTTCTACATTAAAACTAAATTTTCCAACTCGCAGCCTTAAACAGTATGCAAAAACTTTAGCTGTTTTTTGTTTTCGCAGTCTACAAATTCTGAAACTTCTAAATAATCAGTCGTTCGAAAATAACAGAAATGACATTGTTGGTGAAATTGTGTTCTAATACTTACAAGAAAACTTGGGGGTTTTTATTTATTCAGTTCTAAAATTGTTCTAGTTTGTAGTACGTTCGAAAATCACGCTGCATATACTGAAAATATAGATTGTTCGGAAATTGAATCTGTAATACGAGTAATGAAATGTCAGAAATGCAGCGCAGACCTCTAGTTTAAATTTTGTCGCCGCCTCATGAAAGTTTTTTTTTTTTTAATTTAATTTTAAAATGGCCGATTCAGATTTTGAAGGGTTAATAATAGTAGATTTTGAGATACATTAGTTCTAACAAACCTCCGTTAAAAAAACTGTCTTCTGGTTTTAGTGAAAAAAAAAAAAATTTAAATCAATCAAACCAAATTTAATATCGAAATTTAATTCCAGCTATGCAAATCATGTTTAGGAAAATTTTTTCTCTCAATCTAAATTTTATTACTATTTAACTCATTAAATGAACACCCGCATACTCTAAATTACGTCTCACAAAACATACATTTTTGTAAGACGTAATTTAGAGTCCATACATTTTCGTTTTCATAAATTTCTAATAGAAATAAACTGTGAAAAATCCTTTATACAACTGCGTAGTCTGAAGGAATTTTCATAGTTGCATAGTTTGATAATGCAGCCAAGTGAAAAAATTTGCTCGTATTTCATTATTGATATTATCGTATATTATCAATCATTAAACTACATAGATCCTCGTTTAATAACTCAAATATTGAATTTGCTGAAATATTGAATTTGTTGAATTTATAACACAATTGTGTTATAAAAGTGATTCACTTTGTTATAATATTAAAGTGTTATTTGTAAGAAGATTTGGTGTCTCAAATCCTTTATTAATGTATTTAAAAACTAAGTAGTATATTAAAGTTGTTTTAATATCAGCATTTAGAAAAAGACGTAAGATCTTGTTGCAGTAGGAAAGTACCAGTAGATTTTTATTATTTTATTCAACCACTCTATGTTATCAGCATAATCTAATAACTTATTATGTTTGATACCGAAGACAACATCATTTTAAAAAGAATAAAAATCAGAGGTCACTGAATAACCAATAACAAATTTGTAGGAATGAAGAAGGCTAGACTCTAGTCGTGATTTAAATTTTAAAATGTATGAAGTATGATCAGTATATATCCTACCAGAGCGTAACGCTAAACAAATTTCGAAATTAGATTTGAGTTTGAAGTTTAGCTTTACTTACTTTCTTGGAGCACAAAATAGTCAACCCAAAAAATTTTCGGTATTTGTGGCGCTTGTCTTTTTAGGATAATTTGAGGTAGTTTCTTTTAACTTTGGTTTCTCTTTCTAATCTAACAGAATAAAAATGGTTTTTGTGCTATATCTATTGTACCTAGACAGATTTTTTAATATTTGAGAACTTAAATCAAAGCATAAGAAAGTGGCCAAAATTCTGTAACAAAAAAAATTAAATTTCTAAAACTTTCTTACAAAATTGTGAGGAGGAAGAAATTTGAAAAAATACAAAATGGAAATACAAATTGGTGTTTTTCCAAAGTTCGAATGGTTGGTACTCCGAAAATACATAAAACACAAAATCAAGTAATATGTCAAGGAACCATTTATTAGCCCTTTCAGAAACTATTCATTCAAAACTTCTATTTTTTTCAGAAAGGAAATAATGAGCACAAAAGTTTGGGCAAGTAGAAATTTTGTGAAAATTATTTTAAATCCCTGTATCTTGGAAACCGTTAAGTTTTGATTACTAACTGATTGTTTTACTATTTGATTAATTACTGATTGTTTTACTAACGAAAATTTGGTTCATTTTTGATGCTTTAAACAATGATATATAATATTGTACTCTTTACTGAATCAGCCTGTATATTATTTTCAAAACTAAATACAAAAACAAACTTATTTCTTCGTTTTATTTTGTTCAAAATTCTGGCGAAAATCATGATGAATAACTTTCAAATATATAATATAGATTTCCCTGTAAAAATGTTATTTATACAGATAACCAGATATCTAAATAGACCTTAACCATAAATAAACAACTAATCATAAAAACTTATATAGGACAAAATGGGTAATTTCTAAATTGCTTCAAATTTTATTTTGCTTTTAAGCTGTTTAATACAATTTCTAAAAAAGAGAATTTGGTTTCGTATTTTTTGTAATTTTCCAAATAAACACAGTAATATTCGCTATCAAGGAAGTTAAGTGTAATGTGAAGTTAAGGAAATAATCAATTTCCTTAACTTCACATTACACCATAAAATTTCTATGACTGAATCAAATTAAAATAAAATTAACTGTTTGCAAAATAATAAAATATTTTCAGCCATCAACAACTATGTCTAGACTGTAGAGATCAAATCACTTTTTCAATGTACGATACAGCATTTCCAATAACGCTAGATTGTTCTTCATAAACATTAATTTTAAAAACAAAATTAATTTTATCATTTAGGTTTCGCATTGGAACGTATATTTAATATTTTACTATATTTTCTGGTAAAAAGAATTGCAACATTTTGCTTTAGAAGAATCTTTTGCAAATTAGTGCCGTTGCAAATGGAATGATGAGTATTTCTCAAGACGAAAATATTGTAACTTATTATCAAATAGCACATATTTATTTAACTAATCAATACTTACTAAGGAGGCCGCTAGCAGTTGTGCTGTAACCATAAGACCCATACGCGCTTCCATATTGAGGATATGCAGGATTATAAGCATAATCTGAACCAGGAACTACGCTACTGCTACCTATAAGAAAATGTTCATGTTTTTTATAATTAGAATTAAGGTTTCTACACGGAAATCGTAATTTTTTTCCTCTTTAAGTGTTTTTTTAAGCATCTTTTACAATTAAATGTGAATTTATTTTAATATTAAATTATAAAAATCCTAAAATATGGTGTATATGCGCATTATAATATCTTATTGCTTCTATAATCAACCAGTGTATAAGATCGAATCGCTTTGTGATACGTTAATTTTTCACTTATTTTTACCAAAACGAAAAAAAAATCCATTACCATTTTATAAGAGGTGTAAAGAACTGTAATATTAATTATCCAAAATGAAAAACCAAAACCAAAATAAAAAAAATTATCCAAAATGAAAAACCAAAGAAAAAACCAAAACAAAATTAAAAAGTAAAAAATGACTTGCCTGTAGGATAATGACTAAAACTTTGCAACATTGATGAATAACCGACAGCAGCAGCAGCAGCAGCAGCCGATACTGTGGATCCACTTGAAGACGATGGTTGTAATACAATAAGTGATGAAGTATCATGTTGTTGTTGCTGGTGTTGATGATGTTGTTGATGATGTTGATTATTTGACGGAGATAAACAATTTCTATTCATTTCAGTCCTATTTGAGTTTGTAACTGTGTTACTATCATTAATGGTAATGCTACTTCCTCCCATGATATTATTATTACTACTATTATTATTGTTATTATTGTTACTACTACTATTACTATTGCTATTTCCCAATGTATTCAAATTATTCGTTGTATTTTGTTGATTATTACGTGCTACAACTGCTGCTGCAACTGCCACTGTTGACACAATACCATTATTATTACCAATAACACTTGGTATTGTTACCGTTGAATTGTTATCAATCGTTCTTGTTGTATTGTCACTATTGTTCTCATTATTATTTGGAATTACTGTTGTTAGTGATGTATTAGATACTGATGATGATGTGGACGATGATGATGGTAACTGCGGTATTGTAATTGTTGTTGTTGTGGATGTCGATGTTACTCGGTTTGAAAGAAGTTGCTGATGTTGGTGATGATGATGAGGTTGATGATGATGATGTGTTTGATGATGATGTGAAAGATGATGATGTTGCTGAGTTTGTTGATGTTGTTCTGAATGCGAATGATGTATATGTTGGTGTGGTTGATGATGTTGAGATCCGAGCCCACCATTTCCATTATCGCTGTTAGCACTACCACCATTGACTGGTCCTCGGCCACCACCATCTGCACCACCATCAGTTGTATCATTTGTAACAATTGTTATTGGTAAGCCAGGTGATGAACCTGATTCACCATGTGGACTAACAACAATACCAAAATTGGCTAAATTTGTATAGCCACCATGGCCATTTTCGAGAACTGAATTTTTTTTTACCAAAATTTTTTCAATATTCAAAATGAGGGATTTAATTTTTGCAACATTTCGTATTAATTGAAAAAAATAAAAAAATAAAAATTAAATAAAATGATGATTGAAGCGAAAAGCATTTTAAAAAATCTTAAAATAAATAAATTCAGTGCGCAATTAAAAAAAAGCTCATTTTGAAAATTTCAGTTTTGTTTCTCAAAAACTAAAGGACTTAATGTAACCTTGCGTATCGACACTTTTTTTTTAATGGCGGTGTATTTCAAAAGAATTTATGCATTTTTATTGCAGTGCGTCGGCATATTAAAATCTTATCAATTCTTTTAGGGATCTATATGATATTGAAGTTGCTTGCCGGTATATCGCGGCAAACTTCTCAAAGATTTTATATCCTCATATCGATCATTTATCAAAAGATTATTTAAATCAAAACTCCAGAACACTCCGTTACGTTAAACTCCGTTAAGTTGAACATTTGCATAACAGAACGAAGACAACATTTTAAAAGGTTGTTTTACAGTTTTCTAAATAATTGGAGAAAAAAAATTTGTTATAAAATAGGATTTATAGTACTCTATCTTTCAAAGAACTCCTAAACCAGATTTGGTGCGACGATGACCCGAATACCAAATTGAAGCTCAGAAGACAAGGTTGCCAGCTGTGATAAAATTGGAAAAAGGTGCAATGTAACGTCACCTAGGAAATTAATGTTATTTTAAAATGAAAACTTAAAATTTCAAATTTTTCGAGTATTAAAGTCTTGAAATTCCGAAATCTGAACAGATTGTAATTAAGGTAGATATTCATAAGAAAGACCTGACTCTGTAGTTTCCAAATCATATTGTTAATGGACCTGTCTTACACAGATGCGAAGTTATACTTAAAATTTCAAAAGGTAAAAAAATTAGTCGAAATTGACTTTAAGACCCTGTAACTCCGAACTTGTTGAGCTGTGAACATTGTGTTATTACAAAAGTTTGGCTACTCATGAAGGCCAATAAATAAAATAAATAAAAAAAAAAAAAGATGAACTGGGAAGAAACAAGTCTCATATATTTCAAGTCTCAAAGCTTACAATTAGAGGAACTAGCTAAAATCATTAAGGGAGATTATAATATAATCCTAAAATTGATGGATAATGTCAGCGAAGTAAGCTTTGATAATATGTTGAACAAACACGTCAATAAAATGATCAAACAAATGCTGTTTAAATTGATATCAAAAATCAATTTAAACGGCATTTGTTCAAGACACTAAAAAGACAGTTAAAGTTGAAGTAAAACTGTTTTCAATGTTAATGGAGATTATCTGAAATTGGTACATTTTAGCGACAACTTTTCTCAAATGGTAATTGCTCAACCATAGAAAAAGGTGGAAAATATGGCGTACTTAAAGTCAAGTGTAGTTGGCGAAGTGGAGAAATCATTGAGTAATTTATCAATTACTGATGCAAATTATGATATTGTTCGAAAAATGTTAGAACACCGATATGGAACCAAAAGACTAATAGTATCTATAATATTAGAAAGAATGAACCAAAAATCCTGTTTGACATAGCAAACAGACCCATTCTTATATTGGAAAATGTGCGGTGAATTGTAAATGGAGCAACGATCATTCATATCAATTATTAACATCACCAAATTTCGATACAAAACAAATAACAGTTTTGACAACATGAAAATAAAAAATTACTGTAATAGGCAATTACAATTCAAAACAAATGTCAATATTTAACACAGTAAATAGTAAATATTGCAACTAGAAGCATACATTGGCCCTATACGCAGATTTCGTGGCAGCAAGAATAGAAGGAAGACGAACACGCTCATACAAACATGGTTTGCACACCAATTGTTTAAAAAAGAGAAATTCATGGTAATATAAACACAGTGTTTGGCTGTATGGTATTCGGCAAACTTAAAGAGCAAAAACCAAAAGATCTTTGGACTGCTACCGAAAATTCGCTTGGGCTGCTATCTACGTCAGATCGATTGACAAAACTAGAAAAATCAAGATCAAATTATTATATTCGAAATCCAAAGTGGCTCCTATAAAATTATTAGCGATTCATAGCTTGGAATTATGAGCAACGATAATTTATGACAAAATGATAAACGATGGTTAATAACAAAAGTAAAAATCCCAATGAAAATCAAAATAGATGAAATTTATTGCTGAACAGATTAACAAATTTTCTTATCATGGAAAAAGGGTGAAGCATCGGTATTCAAAATATACGCAGCACGTTAATACAAGAACTCACAAAGGTCCACAAATGGAACTATATAAGCGGTAAAGAAAACCCTCCCGGCAAACTGTCCAAAGCAACGACATCAAACTGATCGATAGATTCAGAATTATGATGACATGGACCAATATTCCTCCAGCGTCAAGAAATAGATTGGAAAAACTCTACACTAAAAGGCATATTTGATCAATCAGTTAATTCAAAACATGCTTTTTACTTAATAAATAACAAGAATTCAATTATGTGTTTGCTGCGAATAATGTTGTTGACACCTGATTTCTTCCAAAAGGAGGTCAGAGGTTCCGCGTACGGTCGAATGAAGCTTATATATGAAATTTTAAGTAAATCTCTTGAATATTTTCTTCAAAATGATGAAAAATATAAAACAGGCCCGTTAAAAGGCCCCGTTCCTGAGGCCTGATATATCCCAAAAATATAGATCAATCCGTGCTATAGTCGAAATAAACTTACATGTAAAATTTCATCAAAATCGGTTAAGTTGAACTTGAGATGCACGCGTGCACACACAGACCAACAGACCGACAGGTTGCTAAAAACAGTTTTTTTACAATTCCCTACCATGGAGAAGTGGGTCCCCACTGAAAACTCGATATGCAAAATTTTTTGCCATCACATAACTTACCTTATTGTACACACAATGCGATCGGTAAAAAACGAAAGGAATATTGACAGTCAGAGAAAGGTTACATTAAGCGCCTTGTACTTATTCAGTAAAACATCCAGTCCAACTCAGTGATCACCTTGTGTCTAAGTTATAATGAACGACATTCACGTCCAACATCTACATGCCGGGCCGCTGAAATTACTATCAATTACCACACAGCGCTTTTGGGTTTTACAAGGGAGAAGATTAGCAACACCAATCCTAACCCAATATGTATTATGTGTACAGGCGAAACCTCACTTGTACAAGTAATTAATGGGAAGCCTACCTGAATTTCGAGCACTACCAGTCCGTCCTTTTTTAAATATGGGTGTGGGTTTTTTTGGTCCCATATGGACTCACTTTCATATACGGGGAAAGAGAGCACAAAAAAAGCTATGTTGCAGTATTCTGTTGCTTAGTAACAAAGGCGATTCATATGGAGGTGATGTCGGACCTATCAACAGACAGTTTCATCGGTGTTTCAAAAAGATTCATGGCTCAAAAAGTTTTCGGGGAAAATTTGTGCTGAGGATTGAATACAATACCATACAGATGCTGAAAATTTGAATATTTTTTAAAATAGGTAGATATATTATAGAGCTTAACTTCGAGCTTCGATACTTAGAGCTTTGTGCAATAATGTTTGATATATAAGTGAGTCCTAAAAAAATTAATTTAGAAAATATAGAAAAAAATACTTAAAAAATACGTAAACGAAAAGCTTTATCCCATCACCAAATTTTGTTACATTTTTTACGTTTCTTTTTTTATATAAGGAGATGCTTTTACCTGTATGATATGACGTTAATGTTTGATCGAGTATTCCTTGCCCTAATTTCATATCTTGCATTGAAATAGGTGTTAAAGGAGTTAATGAGTTTCCTCCTGTTAAATTTTTATTGATTATTTTAGTATGTCTTACAAATTTTCTAATATGTTGCAATATTTAATAAAATATGTTCCATTTTAAATAGTTAACAGAATTGTACATTAATTTTTAATATTTCTTAATATAATACATTAATGTAAATAATTAACAGAAGGTATACATAAATTGTTGAAAATAAATTGTTAAATTATAAATAAATTGTAGAAAATTGCGGTGGTTGATCTGAATTATAATTTACATAATAACAAGTAAAACCGTTTCAGTCAGTAGAAACCGACTGAATACCCTGCACTTTAAATATTTTGAGTTTAAAAATTTGTTTTTAAAATATTTAAAACTAAGCTTGATTGCTAAATGGCAATTACATGAACCTATCAAACCACTCAATAAAAACTTCACGGGTATTATGTCTGACATGTAAGTGGACACACGACTGCCGACTTTCATTAATCTAGCCTTAATGTTTTTCCAAATATTTAAAATTAACTTTCGGATTTGTATGGCAGCTACCCGAACCTGTCAAGCAATTACAACAAAACTTCAGATATATATCTGATTTGAAATTGGGCACACGACTGCCGAGTTTCATGAATCTTTGCAAAATTTGATATCAACAGATCTATTACTTTTTGAAACATTTAAAAGAGCCTCTATGAGTTGTATGGCAGCTACCGAACCCGTTGTCCGAATTGGTCCAGTTACAATAGCAGCCGTCGTTGGTGTAAAAGAAAAAAACTTTGCTTGGTGTCGATTGCATTATTCGTTTTTGAGTTGTCGTGCGATCAAACGGTCGAACGGGCGGACGGACATGTCTAAATCAACGCAGAATTTTACGCTGAGCAAGAATATATATATATATGTCCATACCGGAGACGATTCCTTCAAGTGGTTACAAACTTCATACCAAAGTGACTATATCCTTCACGAAGTGCAAGGTATAAAATATATCAAACAATTTGTTTTAATTTATTTTCTTTCCAAAATATCTTCGTACGAAATATGAAACAATAATAACAATAACTGACACTATTCAGCTTTAAAATAATTCACATTAAAAAAATGAAAAAATAAATCTGCATAAGATTTTAAAAGTGCCCCTTCAAAACTTCTTTCAAATTTTGAGACCGTTAGCAAACTTTTAGGTTACATATCTAAAATTCCCTAAAAAGCTCGTGAGTTAGTTCCAGTAACAAAGCGAACTCAAATATTAAATTTCAAGCAATCCCGTTACTTAGTTGCTTATATACGGTGAAGATATAAAATCGGTCCTATTTCTCTTTCGGAGCCCTGATATTCTCAAAAAACTTATATATTAATTATTTTAACACCCTAAATTTGAGTACTAAATTTCAAGGAAAGTAGTTAATTATTTTTCTTCATTAATGCGCAAAAATGTACATTTAGCTCATAGTAACAGTTCAGTTGCTAGCACCTGATATTTTCCAAAATTTACATGGTTTCTCGTACTTCCAGATGAAAATAATATATAATTTGTCAATTTAACCTGTTGAATACTTTCTTCTAAAAGATGAAAAATGTGAAATCGTCTTATAAAAAGGAGCATTCCCCAGTCCTGACGTATTCCAAAAGTGGATCTACCTGTGACATAGGTGAAGTAAACTAGTATATGAATACAAAATCGGCTCACATGAACAGGAGATTCACGCGTGCCCACACATTTATTATTCCCTTATTGCATGTAATTTCGCCGGTAAAAATATACTCATCAAACATCTATGGTCATTTCATTTTCGGCCACTTCTTCTTCTAGGTTTAGCCTGATGTCATTTTCATACAAATTTGTTTCAATATTTACTAATAATTTTACTATTGTGACAAAAAAATCGAATTTTCTTGAAATTTTACATTTCAACTTTGTTTGTAATGGAACAAACTATTGAATTCACATTTTACTAAACAGAATTATCTATATTTTTTCTGCATCTAAGCTAATAGTTTATTATTCACTATTTTATGTACTTCTAACTGTAGAGTAGATTCACGATATTTGTATGGCATGGATTATATGTAACATGATTCATTAATTTTTTGTTTTTTAAAAAATTGAAGACATTTTATCGTTCGTTTGTATTTCTCAGCGTGTTATTCCGATGTTTTCGATTATTTTTCTCTGAAATTTATATTTAATATCCTGTTCAGATTCTGCAACTTTAGTTTTTTGTAAAAATTTCATCCATAAAATTCTTTATTATCGTCGAAAACCGAATTAATAATTTTCTATTTAAAGAACAGAATTTCATTTGGATTATTTATAGTTTTACGTCGAAAATATATAAGTTATTCGATAATTGATTCGATCTTGCATTAGAATATACATAATTCACATAGGTATATTATGTAATTATATTATTAAATTTCATTAGAATATACATAATTCACATATACATATTATGTAAAATAATATTATTAAATATTTACCAATTGATTGAGAATATAATGATGTTTGTGTTTGAGATATTGTGTCAAATAATATTGATTCTGTACATGAAGGCGTGGATGTTGGTACAAAACTATTATGTGTGTCATAATATGGTGTACTACCACCGTTTGTACTTGTAGTTGCTGCTGTACCTAAATCTGATAATAGTTTATGTTCGTCCTTGATGCACCATTTGCCAGACCAAAGCTATTAATTTTGGCAATTGAATTGAAAGAATAAATATTTTATTTTAATTGCATATTTTTTAATAAAAATAACTTTTTATACAAATTTGGAAATATAAACGATTTTTATATTTTTATTTAAAATGTACTTACATTTGAATATAATTGATCACCATTGTAATGAATTCGCTGCCTCTTGATATCTTCGTCTGGATGAATATTAATATCACGATTTTCGTCAGCAATTAGTATTACTAGAAATAGTAAAAAATAATTAAACGCTTAAATATTCTACTTTTTGTATAAAAAAACTAATATTTTTATTGAAATATAAATTTAATTTTCAAAAATTATTGTAAATAATAAACTGTGTATTACTATGTCAATTAAAAGGAAGCAAGATATTTAATATTCTTCTTATAAGCTGTTAGAATATGTATAATTACTTTAATCAGTACTACATTTATTACCGGAATTTAAAAATTTATATTTTTATTTAGTTTAGATGAACACATAACATGTACACATAAAGACTTTACTATAGTATTTTACATATGTATATACATGTAAGAGCGTATGTTCGATAACTCAAATATATGTTTTTGATCAGTATCGAATTCTGAGTAGATTTAGCTTTGTCTGTCCGTCCGTCCACTCTAACGATAACTCAAAAACTACTTGAGCTGAGTTCACCAAATTTTCACAAATGATTTATTATAGTTAATGCCAGAACATTAACTATAATAAATCATAGCTGCCATACAACTTCAAAATTTATTTGATTATATCAGAAATAATAAAGGTTATGGTATTGAAATTTCAAATAAGCGAATAAGATAGTAGGGTCAATGTGTTTGATAAAAGTCATTGAAATTGCTGGACCTTCCTTCCTTCCAGTAGCTGCCATACAATTTGAAAAGTTTTTTAGCTATATCTTAAAATCTGTTCAACCTGCAGTATTGAAGTTTTGCAAAAACGAATATGGTAAAATGGTAGCTATTTTCGTTAAAAGTTATTGATATGTCATGAGCATTTGTGATAACTGCCGTACAACAGTTATTTGGCATTATCTCAGAAATTATTGGAATTATCGTGAAATAAACTGTGTTATTAGGGCTACTATGTGTAATAAAAATCGTTAAAACATCTTGATCCTTGTATCTTAGAAAATATACGGCAACCTAAATTAATAGTCTATCCCATAGTTAGATATGGTATATTTTATGACCCTTTCAACTCTATTTTTTCTTGTTAGAATTAAAACTGATCAATTAGTCTCTTGCTGAATTTTGAATTACTGGTTTATGGGCTCAGCTCTATAATATAAGAAATATTATTCTGGACAATGAAATATATAAAAAAAATATTAAATTGGCATTTTCCGTCGTGGTTCATAATTTTTATAAATCTATAAAAAATTTTAAATATGAATTTAGCTAGATCATCGGGAATCGAGAAACAGTGATGTAATAATTATGAAACCTTGAAAATAAAAATTGAAGGTACTTTGATTTTTAATGATCTCTAGGGATACACAGCTGGCTACATCGATTGGGAGATTACAGACTCAAAAACATTAGCTTTACTTACATTGGTTGTGCAAGAGAATCAATTGACGTATATAAAAAAAGCTATAACATCATTTGCAGCATGAATTTAATTGCGAGATAAACATGCTTCCACAGGTCCAGCAAGAAAGGTAATGCTTTATAAACAATTATTTTTAATACAAATAAAGATAAAAGAATGTCCGACCACTTGAGAAATTTTTAACGAAAATTAAACGACTTAGAAATAGGCATTGAAATACCAACAGAATTATCTTACAGAATCTTAAGGTCACTTCCACAAGATTACGAAAATTTTTTAATTGCAATCGAAACAAAAGATTTCTTACCCTCCACAGAAATTTTGCAAGTAAAATTCCTGAAAGAGTAGGATCGTCATTATAATACTGATAAAGAATTTACTGATGATAGGGCTTTATATCAAACGAAAATATAAAAAGATATAATTATATTAATATAAAATTTAAACCCAAAAATACTTGTTCGTCATCATCATCTACAAAATTTCAAAAATTTGCAAGCAAATGTTTCAGATACGGAAAGCATTGTCTTCGTGTTTCTGATTATAAAGTTAAAAGAGGAAATTATAACAAGAATTGCAAGTATCAAGAAGTATTTGCTATGTACGCGGTTAATGATATTAAGAAAGAAAAGCATACAAAGTTTTTGGTACTGGTAAGGTAACATTGACATTCAATTAAAACGTAATAAGTATATGCTCCAAAATTGATTTTTTTAAGTGATACTTTTGAGTTGAATTTCTTGAGGACGATTTTTCGATAATTTTTTATGACAGGAAGCCAGGGTTTGGTCTTTTTTAGCTGCAGTTTTTTTCAATTTTCAGCAGGAATTTTTTAAGTGATTTTTTCAGGTAATTTTTTTGAGTGATTTTCTTGATGTTGATTTCAAGTTTCATAATACAACCCAGTGCCCTATTTTTTGTGGTCTTAAAAAATCTATTTTCATCAAAAAAAAACTCGAAAAAGTAACTGGAACAATTTCATTTAAAATTCCTGATTCAACCATGATATTTTAACTCACGGCGTCATCATTAAAAAACACAAAAGAGTTACTGAAAAAAGAAATATTCAAAAAGAAATTGAGTACTCAAAAATGTTTTTTTTTCCGTAAAACCGTCCCAACGAACAACTGCGTGCCTACTGCCCATTAAAAACTGTCAAAGATTTCAAAAATCTACTTAAAAAATTTTCCTCAAAATTGTTATTGTTATTTGATGCTAAAAATTCATCATTAAAAATCATTCAAAAAATCAAACAAAAACTAAAACAAATTACGTTTCAGATAAATAAATTTGCTTTAGTTTATCTAAAACAAAAAAAATCTAATTTTAATTGTATACCATGTATAAAATCTAAAATTATACAATTAACATTTAAGTGTTCGGAAAATAAACCAAATGATATTCTCGATATTGCACATTCAGATATTTGTGGTCCTCCATCTCCTGAAAATCGAAATTTAAGTTGTAAATGCTTTTAAAAATTATTAAAGAAAAATTGAATATGAATCTTATAAGAAAATTATAGCTTTTAGGGCAGACAATACAAAACAATGCATTTCTATGACAAAATCGTTTAATTCAATATGAAATTCTTTTCATAACTACGTTTATGAGTGTGTTAATATTGTAAATTATAAAATATTTTGTACTTTTATAGCTATTTATTCAAAGTCAAGTAACATTTTTTTTAAATACTATATACTTAAATTTGTGCAATGAAATAAATTGAAAATTTAATGAGAGTTTCCGAACTTGTTTCTTTTTAGATAATCATTTTAGTACTCAAGTAATTCATATTTATTATATGTTCAATCCAAAATATATATTACATATACATACCTATTTATTGATTTATTGCGACTCTACTCAGGAATACGACAATTTTGATTTTAATTTAATAGATGTAGCTTTTTATATAAATTTGAGCATAAATTATTTTACAATTTTGAGCTTTCTGGAACAACGTTTTTTTTTTAAATAATTTTTGTTTTTTTTTGTTCTAAATTTTTGTATGAAATTTTTCGATTTTTCCAATAGATGGTGCAACTAATTTAAAACTATATGACGTAAAAATTTGAAATACAGCATTGACACGAATCCAAAAATATACAAATATTTTTTTCGTTTGTGTCTATGATCATTTTAATATATTACGATATAACTGGAATAAAAAATGATAAATGTACTTATCAAACAACCAACAAATTGAAAAAATTAATCCAGTGTAAATATTTTTATGAAAAAATTGAAAAAATTATGTGCATATAAAAATTAGATGCGTTATCACATTCAACGTCAGATATTACATAATATTGAGCGTAAATGAAACTTGTATGTTAAATGAAAAATCATAAATATGTACAACGATTTTTATTATGAGATGTTACTAATTAAACAATAATTTTTATTATAAATTCTTGTAAAAGAAGTTACACCTACTACAGCGAAAAGTATAACAAAACTTGTTTTTGAAAATGGATTTAGCCAAGCTCAGGATTTTCAGATTTTATCAAAAACAAATTTGTTTAGAAGTGTATGGAATTTAGAAAAGGGACTTTCTGAAGTATTTTAAGATAGTAATTAATTATTAATTATTAATAAATATTTACACTTTTTACTATATCTACGGAACGGATTCATAGAATTTTCTGAAATTTGTTATTTAAATTCTCGTTGTTACCGAAATTAATTAGTTTCATTCCTTAAAAACATTTTTAAGGAAATCGGTTCGCACAAAGCGAAATTCTATTAAGAGCCAAATTTACACTTTCCTAGTAGAATACTGCTTATGTTAGATCTGCCGCAACATTGTTCTTTTTCTTCACCCCTACTTGAAATATAGGGCTGCTAAATGATATTACAAATATGCGTTAACAAGTTTCGTACAATATTGTATTTCAACTAGACCGGACTTGTAGATTATCTTATATTAAAATATTAAAGGTTAATATTGATATTTTATCGATTTTACTTTTGCTGGTATTTAATATCGAATTACATGAAAATATGGTGATTAATTTTATAGTAATTTTTTTACTTAATAGTATTGTTTATAAAGCTATATAATATTAAACTAGTCATGTGTGCTTGCATTGCAAGCATTGCAACTGAATTGCTGGCAGTTTTAATATTATATATTGCATCCTGCAAGATTTGCAACATTGCCTATTCGCAAAACTTTAACGTTATAGAAAGGATGTTTTTATTGTTTCATAATGTCATAATTTTCTCGGGCTGTATTTTACCTACAATGCTGTTTTTTCAAATGTCTAGCTAATACCTTATAATTAATTTCTGACTGTCTTTTCATTTAAACTTCATATAAATTTAGAATTTATTTTTGATTTGTTCTTTGAGCTTGGTGGTCTAATTGATTTATATGGCATTAGTCTAGCCATTCTAAAAATTCAAATAACAAATTGAAGCAAAACAAATGACAATACATCTTATTTTGTTCTGTAGAATTTTATTTATTCCAACACAAAATTCTCACATTTTATCAACTCATACATATTTGAACAGATGTGAACAATGAACATTAATGTATAGTTATAGTTAATACGAAATATTACTTATTATCTCTTATGAGAAGAACGAAATTTATATAAAATAAAAACAACTTACTGCATACTTACAATTTATATTTAAAATGAAAAATATATCA